GCTCTGAAACTATGGGGCGGCCGAGGACAAAAAATACACATGCGTTAATCGCGTTAAAATAATTAGTGGCGTTAATTTTTTGTTGTTGTTATTAACGCGTTAACTTGACAGCCCTAGTTTAACGTTTATAGTCCGTTTGAGTTTTGCCCATTTGAACGCAAACCAAACCTTCTGAAAGATGGAGCAATGTAACAAACTGTCGTCTGTTGCGCACCAGAAAAACGGACTATTAGGTGTGAATGGGACCTATAGGCTGAAGTCGAATAGTCCATTTAGCTTAGGAACCTTCCTAACGGAGTGAAATGACCCGGAAGTCCCTCAGTGGCAGCCATGATAAGTGCCGTTCGAATTCTCTAGATTATAGGAAAGGAGGTTTCAAACTTCCTTTATAACCTCCTTTAGCTTAGCAACCACTGGACCTCCCTTGACGAAAGGAGAGGAGAAAATGCTGCCCCACAATGCCTTGCAGCCGCAGCATTTGCCGTCACACAACAGTCGGCCGTTCACGGAAACAAACAATTATGACGGAGAAGTTGTATGCCCGGCGCCGTGGGAGGGCCAGGCCGCGTCTATTGTTATTCCAACCCAGTTTAGATTTAACCACGCCCACTTCCGCATTACGCAAGGATCGACGTAGCTCTACGCCATAGACACGGCACACCCGCAAAATCTGAATATGACAAGCAAAATACCGTCCTTAGAAACGCTGCATAATATACAATATAATAGTGCTTCTTTGTCAATATGACTGACGACCACAATTATGCAGTGCTGAGGTAATGTTAATTCATCATTTAATATGAATTCCTGATGGATATAAGAGGGCACATTAGCAAACATCTGTATATATAGCCTATATATAATGTTTCGTTTTTTTGTTTGTCATGTAACATGTTAACGTTTATTTAATATTTTATAGACATTTATAATATGTTATAAATGTCTATTTTAACATTAGTAACATATTAACGTTCTCTTCGTCCTCGTGGTTTAATGCCGCAAATATGAACTTATGGACTGTTGCATGTATAAGACATGATGGACACGTTGAAGAATCGCGTACTACCATTCAAGTTGAACTTCGTAGATGAACACTGTCAACAGCCTGTCGTAATAAAATTAACGTTGATAAAATACGCACCTCTCCCCCACAACCCCTCCCCCTCTCCGCGCCTACCCATATCTGTAGGGTGTTCGCGCACATGACAAGCAGGTCCCTGGGTAGGTCGTAAATAAGTAAATATTGTATTATATGCCGGCATATGGTGTAGTGGAATTATACGGCCTAGGACCACGTGACAAACGTTCTGAATTTGATGGTGTATTATCTTTATATGTATTTTACTGTAGATCGTAGTGAAGATATATGATGTACGTAGGGCTGGATACTCACAGTCACACACCGCACACACGATCACCACAACACACACTCGCATACACAGCCACACACACACCACAGCACACACAGCACCACACAAGCACACACACACACCACAAACAGTCGTATCGTAGATATGAATACTCTCACTGCACTAATGAATAGATCGACACTGTCTGCGTGTCTCTGGGTCCTATTCATACTAACCAGTGGCTGAAACAAGCAAAAATGTGTGTATATACATGAAGAAATGGCGAGAGTGTGAGAACTAGTTGGAAGCTAATATAAGAGTGACAGTAATGAGGTTCGGAGGCGGTGTGCAGAGATAGAGACCAAATATCGAGCCGTCTTGACTCCCCCAAGGAGTGGTGATGCCAGGGCAACTGTAAATAATTAAGTATAATAATAGATGGTTCGGTTACTTTATACATTAGGTAAGCTACCTCCTCTCTTTGAACTTAGTATACTAAGACTGACTAATACAGATTTCAAGGGACGATAAACAAAAACATTACGTCGTCCGCGGTGGTATATATATGTGCTGAGTTTCTTGTAAAGACTCTACCAACGGTCACCTATTGAGACTACAATCGCGTATTTTACAATAAGATACAAATAAGTAGTTAGTAATCTTTAATTACATAACCTAGCGCTTTACGGCTGTCACCGCCGGACCTATAAGTACAAGTTTATACAAAATTAAGAATTCAGTATGCTGCAAATGTTTAGTATAGCGTATTATTAGATTCTGTTATGTTATTTAATTTGACTTGTGTTTGGCTGCCCAATCTTTTCGCTTTTGCAGATTAGGGGATGTTTTATTTTGGCTAGTACGGTCCGAATAATGAGGAGGATCGGATACCCTCTATTATACTGAGACTAATTTACAAAATATATTTGTTATTGTCTCATGATGTGTTTATGATTATTATATTAAGAGTAATACATAAATTAGATTGTAATTACTAATATATCCTCTACTCTGAGTGTACATTAATTTAAATCTGTCTTATTTAAACTAGACTGTTTCATCTACTTCTCAGTGGATTATACCCATCTACGACAATACGATAAGATGGTTTAGAGATATCCGTCTCATAGATCTACAAGTGCGTAGTTAGGTATCAGAGTGCGATTGAATTTTCCTAACGTCGACCATGGCCCGTAGTCTAAACACGGTGTGACTTTATGCCACGTAAAATCAAAAACAGTTTTAGTTATACCCACCGAGAAAACGTTTGCTATGAGCTTCTGTTGAGCGCGCTGTCAGACAACGTCTAAATATGGCGCCTCGTATGAAACATGATGCGCGCGATGTGTGTACACGGTACAGCCTTACTAGAGCAGAACCAAGGACCTAGTAATAGTGCTAGAATAGTCGCGAAGAGAATGTCGAGACCTGTCTTGAATATTGAAGAATGGGAGACATTTCCTTATGTACAATATTTACAGGGTCCGTGATGTAAANCTCCAAGTGGAGATGAGGTCTTAAAATGTATTACATCCGACTTCAGGACTAAACTGATTAGTAACCAAGTCAGTTTTGTCATCTTCAGGGTGTATGCAGGAGTCCTGAAGTCGGATGTAATACATTTTAAGACCTCATCTCCACTTGGAGTTCTAACCGGTTACCTTGGCGACACACTTTACCTCACATTGACTATATACAGTATTGATTGTCCTTCCTCCTTATCTTCCAACCATTTGGACGCAGACTTGCATTTCCCCATAACGATGTTGCTTAGCAACCGGCGTAAACGGACCTTCGCGCTATGTCCTGTTCAGATGACGTCAAACCCAACGGGATGCCATCAATAAACTCCACAGAATCAGTCTACACACCTACGCAATGATTACATTCAGGCAAACTGTAGAATGCAAACCTCTTTGGACAATTTATATACTTATTGAAAACAAGCTACAAAATGTAATACCTTGGAAAATATATATTTTTTTTTAATAGCCTTAATTTTCGCTAAATTGATTTATCAACTTTTAATACTTTTTAAGGCCCGGCGGACACCCTGATCTTAGATAAAAATGTTTAATATAGCAGCAGTCTTTATAAAGTAGATGTTAAAAATGTTTCTGGAGAGGTAGTATGAAGCACCCATAGGTGGCACCACATGTCCATTTAAGACCCTAGTGCCACCTATGGGTCCAATGTGTCTTCTATTAAAGCTTCTATTGAGCTTTTCTAATGATAAATGTCTAAAAATGTGTCTCTCGTCAAATAAAAATAAATAAAAATAAAGTGAAGGGTGAAGAGCCTCACCTTCACTGGTCACTCCGTCTGAATCCTCGTAGTCATCGTACTGTGTCACAAACAGAAAACACATATGTTGCTTTTAATACACACACAACTTGTGAAGTAACAGTAAGATAANAACCCCCACGGTCCCTCAGATCCACCGCAGCCGGACTCCTATCCATTCCCACATCCACACTCTGCAGCTTTGGGTACAGAGCCTTCTCAGTGGCAGCTCCTAGGCTCTGGAACTCCCTCCCCCAAGATCTCCGTGACTCTGAGTCCCTCACAGTCTTTCAGTCCCGCCTCAAAACACATCTTTTCAACTCTGCCTACCCATAAGCCCCCCTCCTCTCAATCAATTTCCTCTTGACTGCCTTTTTATTTATTTTACTATACTTACTTGTTTGCCTGTCCTTGTTTGTCTACCCTCCCTCATATTGTAAAGTGTCTTTGAGTTGTGAAAAGCGCTATATAAATAAAATGCATTATTATTATTATTATTATTATTCTATTAAAGCTTCTATTGAGCTTTTCTAATGATAAATGTCTCAAAATGCGTCTCTCGTCAAATAAAACCATAAAGTGAAGTGTGAAGAGCCTCACCTTCACTGGTCACTCCGTCTGAATCCTCGTAGTCATCGTACTGTGTCACAAACAGAAAACACATATGTTGCTTTTAATACACACACAACTTGTGAAGTAACAGTAAGATAATTGAGATGATCAGAACACATGAGGCAGTACGGAGACATTTCAGTCCATTTGGATTAAGTGTTGAATTATCTGCATGGGGAGGTGATTGTTATGGGATACAATGAGGTCATACTTGACTATAATCATCTATTGGTGATTCAAAACAAACATTATTGGACCTATAATATTCCCTAGCTGTTTCAACACCAACACCCAGGGTTAGAATCCATTAGGAGTAATATATAGATAAATAAATAATAAATAAGAGTATATTTGTGTACTGATGCAACACCATGTGCATGCATGTGTTCCTATGGTTACAATACGTGTTGAATAGAAACACACGCATGAAATAAATTAACACCTACGCGTTTGTTCAGCAGGATAATCTCCACATATTTACACCGCTGTTATAATTGTTGAAGGGTAAAGGCAATCTCCAGAAGTAAAGAGCTAACGTGGCTAATTCACATCTCCTTTTTGTGAGATAACATTATCCTTGCCTTCCCTCTACTGCTCTTTATCATGTTATGTCTGTCTTAGGAAATATATTATACAATCTATCTGAAAGAAAAGTAGGTGTTGAAATGAACAGGAATGCTCTGAATGGGAATCAAGAATTTAACAGTAAAATGTGGAGTAAAACCAACTAACACAGTTGTAGATTTTGTAGATTTACCTCTTCCTCCAAATCTAGCCATTTCTCAATATCATCCATCACGGTGTTCTGGTTGATGGGTATCTAAGAAAGAGAGCAGAGCGTTAGGGGGGTCAGAGCAGAAACATATGAACGACTGCTTTAACTTAATGAAAAATACTACAAAACAAACAAAAATCAAACTTAACAACAAAGGAATAACCACATGTTGGGAAGCAAAGCACAGGTATGAAGTAGCCCATCAGGCAACTGGACACTGTCATGCTGAGTGTTGGGCGTCGGCTCTGAGAACATGCAGACCATTGGGTTTTATCTCAATAGAGCGGTGCAGGGATGACATGTTTTTGAAATCCGACCCAGATTTTAGCATCACAAGGGCTTTTGTTTTGTTTTTGGTAAAATGCAGAAAATAATCTCTACTACAACTACAGCACGGTCACATGACTTCACGTCACCACCGCTAAGCTAAAGGAGGCTAATGTTGGGCTGTAAAGGAACTACAGCACGGTCACATGACTTCACGTCACCACCGCTAAGCTAAAGGCGGCTAATGTTGGGCTATAACGGAACTACAGCCCGGTCACATGACTTCACGTCACCACCGCTAAGCTAAAGGTGGCTAATGTTGGGCTATAAAAGGAACTACAGCACGGTCACATGACTTCACGTCTCCACCGCTAAGCTAAAGGTGGCTAATGTTGGGCTATAAAAGGAACTACAGCACGGTCACATGACTTCACGTCTCCACCGCTAAGCTAAAGGTGGCTAATGTTGGGCTATAAAGGAACTACAGCACGGTCACATGACTTCACGTCTCCACCGCTAAGCTAAAGGTGGCTAATGTTGGGCTATAAAGGAACTACAGCACGGTCACATGACTTCACGTCTCCACCGCTAAGCTAAAGGTGGCTAATGTTGGGATATAATGAAGTTAGCAGATGTCTTAAAAACTGAGGTTACTTAGAAGAGACTAATACATGTCTTCATGATGAACATAAGCCACCCTTAGCTTAGCTAGTTTTCATGAAAAAAAAAAAGCTAACGTTAGGCTATAACTTACGTTCAACAAAACNTGAAATACACCACTGGTGAATTTAAAATGTCTAAATGAGGCGACTAAACGTCATCACGGCCAACATTAGCCACCTTTAGCTTAGCGGTGGTGACGTGAAGTCATGTGACCGTGCTGTAGTTCCTTTATAGCCCAACATTAGCCGCCTTTAGCTTCGCGGTGGTGATGTGAAGTCAGGTGACCGTGCTGTAGTTCCTTTATAGCCCAACATTAGCCGCCGTTAGCTTAGCGTTTTATTCTGAAATAATCTAAAATAGCATTAAAAACATCCCATTAGATCTTTGTGGAGGGAATCAGGGAGATGCTAACTTCAGGGTAGCGCTATAAATGTACAACATCACTGCACCACTCTATAATGAAAATTGTCCATTCAAGATTGAGGTGACGTCTTTAATTGTCCTTATTTGGTATTTCCAAAACCCAAAGATATTCACTTTAATGTAATACAAAACAGAGAAAAGGTCTTTCACTCACTCCTTCAATAGCAGGAAGATAAAATAAAATCAACTCTGCCTCCAAAATCAACCATAGAAAAGAAAACAACATGAAGTCTGTGGGGGTGGATTTGTTGCAGCAGGAACGCAGACACATGAAAAGGGGATGAAGAGGATGTTTGTATGTGTCGCACACAATCAGAAGCTCGTCATCCTTCACCAACAGGCAGGCGATGTGAAGCTCACACACAATCTCTCCACAGAAAACAGAAGAAGACAAAACAACCGACACACAGGCAACTGAGAAGAAGAAGACACGTCCATCTTGAGAAAGCACCTCATCCTGCAGTGAGGTTTAAAATGTGTCCCTTTAACTTGTTTTGGGTAAAGAGTTGGACAAACAATTGTGATTTCAACTCGCTCTATCAGTGGGATATCGTTTTGAGATAAACGTTTATATAAAAAACTCCTGTCATGGTCATTCTGGGGTGCCTTTGAAACTAAGTCCTGGCTTTCAGTAAATGAAGCTGTTCTGGTCAGACGATATTCTAACAAGCTTTAGGATATACTAACGAAGATTTCACACCAGGACACAAATCATAGCGAACGGTCAGGCAGTGTTTAAAGACTGGTTAATGGAAGAGACAATGTGAACGGACCTGGAGAGTTACAGAAAACCTTGATCAGTGCTTGCGTCAAATCAAGTTACGTCGCTTTTGACGCGGTTATAGACATCGGTACTATTTCTATCTCTACCAATACGATCATTTTTGAATTAACAAAATTGTTGAGAGGGATCCTACACTCTCAGTTTGACTGATTTTGATAGAGGAAGTCACATATTTCTTGCTAGACAATGCAGTTTTTTGAAATTGGAATGCCGGTTTAACCCTCAGTAACAGAACAAGTTTCCCATCAAGATGAACATGTTTCCACTGTGCGATTAACAGCATCACGGCGGCACTTACGTTCTGCTTCCCCACGATGTTGTCGAAGGGCAGCTCGGGGCTCCAGGACGCCTCGTTGAAGGTGGTGCTGCTCGCCCTGCGGTCCGAGGAGCTCGACGCCTCCTTCATGATGTCCTCCGGCAGGCTGAGCGTGCTCTCCTCCGGCTGCTTGATGAGGAACGTCTCGATGTTGTGGCGGCGCAGGAAGTCGTTGCGGTCCTTCCCGTGGCCCTCCTCCACCTCGTAGTCTCCGTTCAGACAGTCCAGAGCCGCTTTGGAGATGTGGATCCTCCTGGAGAGATGGCGGGAAAGAACAATAGTCAGGTTTTGAGGAAAAGTGACAGAATTTGTACGTAAAAAGTCAAATTTGGAGTAAAAAAATATCACATTTTGAGAAAAAAAAAATCCGAATAGAGGAAAATTTCAGAATTCGCAGAAAAAAATCAGAATTTAGCGTTTCCCGAAAAAAGTCAGAGTATTGAGATTTTCAGAAAAAGTGCATTATTTAAGAACAATTTGAGTTCTCAGATATTCTGAAAATACGTAAGTTTTAGATTGTCAGAAGAAAGTCTTACATTTGAGAAAAAGGCAGAATTCCGAGATCTTGAGAAAAAAAAACTTTTTTGTAAAACAATCTGAATTTTGAGAAAAAAAATCTGAATTTTGAGGGAAAATTACAATATGTTGAGATTTTCATAAAGAAGTAAGAATAATAACATTTTCAGAAAAAGGGCATAATTTAAGAAAACATTTTATTCTCAGATTTTTTGAAGAAACGTCAGAATTTTGAGATTAATTTGAGCATATGGAAAACATCCTGCTTTAAAGGTGGAGTAAGTGTTTTTCGGCCACCAGGGGGCAGCAGAAAAACTCCTTAAAACCCTGGACACATTCAACAGACACATACTGTAGCAACATTAGCTTCTCAATAGAGTATTATTATTTGGGGAAAATAACAGTCAGATTTTGAGGAAAAGTGACAGAATTCTTAGATGTTCAGAAACAAAAAGAAGTACGTTTTAGGTTGTCGGAAGAAAGTCTCACATTTGAGAAAAAGTCAGAATCCTCAGATTTTCATAAAAAATTCACAATTTTCTGAAAAAGGCAGAATTCAAGAAAAAGGCAGAATTTAGAGATTTTCGGAAAAAAGTCCAATTTTTGAGAAAAGAAAGAACATTCCTTCTAGACTGTGTTATGTGTCGGGTGAACCCAAAACATCATCCGACATTCAGATATCTTCTGTCCGTGCTTCCTTGTTATATACCAGAGAGACCACAGGTCAGGCTCTACAGCAGCTGCTGGCAGGACGTTTAAATCCTGCAGTTTGAGAAATAATCTCGCTCTGTTTCCGCGCCAACCATCAGGGCGAAAACACATTTGGCCGAGAGACACTTTGGTGTAGAGTAAACATCAAAAAACACATTTATTTTCACATTTTAAAAAGTAACCTCTATTGAAATGATCGTACTAAACTGCACCGTTGTGTCTCTAAAGCAAACAATCAAGTAAAAGGTAAATAAGTCAAAGAACAGATTCCAAAATACTGCTGCTGGTTTATATGGGGTGGTGGTGGCGAAGTCGATAGGGACTTGGCTTGGCAACTGGAAGGTCACCAGTTCAAGTCCCGGCAAGACCAAGTGCTACCGAGGTGTCCCTGAGCAAGGCACCGTTCCCTACACTGCTCCCCGGGCGCCGTTCAAAATGGCAGCACACTGCTCCTAACACTAGGATGGGTCAAATGCAGAGAAACAATTTCCCCATTTCATAAAGGGATTCATAAAGTATATCAAAAAATAAATAAATAAATAAAGCTTTGAATGGTTTAGGCCCAAAACACATTTCTGACCTCCTGCTAAATGATGAACCATCCAGACCTCTCAGGTCTTCAGGTCTGCTTTCTGTCCCCAGAGACTTAAACATGGAGAACTCAGTTATTATGCTCCAAACATCTGGAACAAACTCCCAGAAACCTGCCGGTCCGCTGCAACGAAGACTACTTTTAAATCCAGGCTGAAGACTTTTCTTTTTGTCGCTGCTTTTAATTGAACTATTCATATCTCACACTGCACTCTAACTTGTATTCATGTACCTATTATTCATGTTTTATTATCTTTGATTTTAAATGAGTGTTTTTTTTAAATGTTTCTGCTGCACTATTTCTATTTCCTTGCCTTTAGAATAACCCCTGAATCTGTTGTGTTTACTGACCCGGGGATTCCTCCAGACTCCAGCTTGTTGGCGATGTCTACGTCCCAGGACCAGACGTCAAACTGCCACTTCCTGAGGCCCAGCACGCCGCACAGCACCGAGCCCGAGTGGATCCCGATCCGCATGTCGATGTCGTGTTTCGTACGAGACCTCACGTATCTGGGGGAGAAACAATGGAGATATGTTTAGATTTGAATCGTGACTTATTCTGAGCCAGGAATCTCCACTTCAGTAGCGACAAGCTCTCCAGTTTCCAGAAGCTTTGTTCATCAAAGACACAGGAACCTTTATTCCTAAAAACACTTTATTCATAGCTGTTGAAAGTATTTTTTTATGTATTTATCAATTAATACAATCATTTTCCTCTCTTTCTGTATGTCAACAAAAAAAACTAGATTGTTTGTGTATTGTTTATTTATTTAGCTTTGTGTTGTTTTATTTATACTGTTTTTTGTTTGTTTTAAAGCGTACATATATGGACAATAAGTCAAGTTTTTCAAACTGAACCTTTGTTCTGGATATGTATTCAAATACGCACATATTAATGAATATAACACCTATTATTAATACATATGAAAACATGTAGTTAGTCAACTGGGAACGTTTTATTTAGATATTCATTCGTTAAATATTGTTGGATTTATGGATTGTAAGAATAAAGTATTTTAAGCTTTTTTAATTTATATTTTAATACATTTTAAATAAATAGGATAAGAAAAGCACTCATCATTAATCAAGAGCAGTTTGAGACTTGCTGCCTTGCTCATGGACACATAGGAAAACAGACTGAACCACTAACCCTCTCTACAGCTTCACTATGATGGATAATGAATAATAAATGCGTAATAAATGATAAAACATGCAAACAAAACTTAAAATAGAACCCTAATCATATCATGTAACTCAAATGAATCTTTAAACTGTGAAGGGAAATCATATATGAGGTAAAAGTGCATATTTAATGATCAACATGTAAGTAGAATATGAAACATGTATATATTGATTCAGCTATGCCAGAGGTTACTCTGGGTCTCTGTGAGTGTGTGTGCATTAAATCAGAATGCAAATACACATGAGTTTGACCTCTGGCGAAAAACACAACGCAGATATTGTTTGTTAATTCAGCGAGAAACGAGCACACAAAACATTTCATTTCATGCTTCATAACAGCGCTGGTGAGTGTGAGGTGAAAGGCATGCTGGGAGATTGTGACAGGTAATGAGCTGTGAATTAATTCAAACTGCAGTTAGTCATGAAGATGAATTGATATAATTTAGATTAAAAAGTCTCACATCCGAGAAATAGGCAGAATTTAAGAAAAATATAAGAATTCTGAGATTTTGAGAATAAAGTTAGAATTTTGAGAAAAAGGCCGAATTCTGAGATTTCGAGATTAATGTGGTTAAAGAGATTCTCAGAAAAAAAGGCATTATTAAAGAAAAATTAAGGTTAAATTCTGACTTTTTCAGAAAATCTCAGAATTAAAATTAATCAGAATTCTCAGAAGAAAATCTGAATTTTGAGATTTTCTGAAAAAAGTCTTACATTTGAGAAAAATGCAGAATTATGGGATTTTGAGAAAACATTTCAAATTTTCAGGAAAATGTCAACATTTTCAGAAAGAAAATGAATTTAGGGTTTCCCAAAAAAAGGCAGAATATTGAGATTTAGAGAAAAAGCACATTATTTAAGAAGAATCTGAATTTTCTGAAATATTTCAGAATTTTCAGGAAAAATTACATAATTTTCGATTTTTTGAAATAAAAACGATTAATAAGATTTTGAGAATAATCGCATTATTTAAGAAAAAATATAATTCTGATACTTTCAGAAGCATATCAAAATTCTGAGGAAAAAAATACAGAATTTTGCGATTTTTAGAAAAATGCAAGAATTCTCAGATTTTCAGAAAAAAAAATCACAATTTTACGAAAAAGGCATAATTCTGAGATTGAGAAAAAAAATCATAATCCTCCATAAAAAAATTAGAATTTAGGGTTACCAGAAAAAAGTCAGAACTTTGAGATTTTCAGAGAAAGTGCATTACTTAAGAAAATGTTTAATTCTGAGATTTTCAGAAAAAAGTCAGGATTTTGAGATTTTGAGAAAATGTCAGAATATAAGAAAGAGACAGAATTCTCAGATTTTCAGATTTTTTGGTAAACAGGTAATTTGTCGAGGGAAGCTTGCCACCTGTGGATAAAGAGGTCAACATGACAGTCACTGCACTATGACATGTATACACTATTAAAGCTGAAATGTAAAGTTTAAGATGCTGCTAATGTTTTGAGGTAAGTCAATAAAAAAGGCCTATAATTGTGTAAAAGGAGATTTAATGTTGCGAATATGACTGAAAACAAACAATACAGAGTCTCACCTGCTCTGCACTCACATCTGACCTCAGACAGTATTTCATTTTAATATGCATGGTGATGATAAATGAGGCACTACACACATAATTACCCCACCTCTTGTAAACATCATCAAAGGAATAGTAAATGGGAGTAAACGAACCTGCGTTTACAAACACAGGGCGATATGAATTATGAAATGCTGCCATGCAATATTCAGAGCGCCTGTCTGCCTCAGTCTGACACCACAGAGTCCGCTGGAGCAGAACAAGCCCCGGAGCAAAAACCAACATGTTCGCAGGGTTCTGAGGCGTGTTGACTTCACTGCGTGGTGACAGCCGACACTGATACGCGTGATACGGACAGGAAGTCACTGATGGGTTATGGGTAAATAATCTCAAGAAGGGAGATGCTAACAGAGGGAAATGACACAGAAGCAACGATAGGAGTCGTTTGATTATTAGATGCTAGGGAAGGAGATCCTATGCTTCCTTTGTTATCTCCTTTATGGATGGAGTGTCTCTACTTTAAAGAGTCCTCTCCTGCTGATGTTCAGGTGTATCTCAGTATGTAGTGTCTCTACTTTAAAGAGTCCTCTCCTGCTGATGTTCAGGTGTATATCAGTATGTAGTGTCTCTACTTTAAAGAGTCCTCTCCTGCTGATGTTCAGGTGTATATCAGTATGTAGTGTCTCTACTTTAAAGAGTCCTCTCCTGCTGATGTTCAGGTGTATATCAGTATGTAGTGTCTCTACTTTAAAGAGTCCTCTCCTGCTGATGTTCAGGTGTATCTCAGTATGTAGTGTCTCTACTTTAAAGAGTCCTCTCCTGCTGATGTTCAGGTGTATATCAGTATGTAGTGTCTCTACTTTAAAGAGTCCTCTCCTGCTGATGTTCAGGTGTATATCAGTATGTAGTGTCTCTACTTTAAAGAGTCCTCTCCAGCTGATGTTCAGGTGTATATCAGTATGTAGTGTCTCTACTTTAAAGAGTCCTCTCCTGCTGATGTTCAGGTGTATATCAGTATGTAGTGTCTCTACTTTAAAGAGTCCTCTCCTGCTGATGTTCAGGTGTATATCATACGTAGTGTCTCTACTTTAAAGAGTCCTCTCCTGCTGATGTTCAGGTGTATATCAGTATCTAGTGTCTCTACTTTAAAGAGTCCNGTTTTTTTAGCTCTATCTAAAAACATCAAGGCAAGGCAAGTTTATTTATATAGCACTTTTCAACATTTCTATTTTTTGTAAAGCACTTTGAATTGCCTTGTGTTGAAAAGTGCTATATAAATAAACTTGCCTTGCCTTGATGTTTTTAGATAGAGCTAAAAAAACAGACCAAAAAACATGCTTGTTGCTCAAAATCTGTTCCTTGCTTTTTTACGTGTACGTTTTCTATACTTTGTTTTACTCCCTCGTCAAAGAGCTTCTGAATCAGGATGGGAAGTACTCTTCTCATAAATAAATAAATTAGGGAGAGTGGATTTCTTATGCTAACTTGAATGCTACGCTAAGGAGAAAACAAGACGACGAGGAGGACCGATGCCAACATGTTTCATTCTGCTGCTTCACAGTGGAAACAAATGGCGGTTCCCACTTTGCTCTATAGAAAGGACATTCTTGGAAAAGGAAGCTGTTGCTTAAGAAGCTCCTGGGAAACATCAGTGACGTGTGCAGAGAAGATGAGCTTTTAAAAAAGGGAAAAGAGAAGACAAGGCGCGCTTTTAACTAGGGATGCAACAAGTGTGTACAAGTAAACAAAAAATATCTGTTTATTGGTTATAGGTTTATGCATCACAATATTAACAAGAAGGGCATTATTGTGCGATAGCAGTTTTGTAGTTATTCTGATTAGAAGTCATTCAGTGTAATGATTACAACATATATGAGCATCTGGGAATATCAGTTCTGAGTTTAAAGCTGTATGACCGTAATAAAGTTATTGATAGTTTGGATATTCGGTATCTCATATGTCGATTAATATCATGCTTTGAAACTAGTCTTTGTGGCTCTTTACACTCGGCCTCCCCGGACAAAAAACACCAGACTCAGGGACACTTTCATCCAACAGGCCATAAGACTGTTAAACACCTGTGCTCTGTAAAGTGCCCCGATAAACATTCACCTGTTCGTCATCTTGCAATTTACTTATTTATATAAACCGTATGTAATTTCATATTCTGTTCTTGTACCTATCATATTCTATTTACATGTATATAGACTTCTTTATTTTTATATTTTATTATAGCTTTGTTGGAGGAGCTCGGGTCAGAAGAATTTCATTGCTATTTCTACACTGTAGCTTATGTGCATATGATGATAACATCTTTGAATTTGAACAAGATAACGCTAAACTCTCAGTTTCTGTGTCGGTGCATTTGAAACCACTGGAGAGCTCGCTCAGTGAGATTCCTTTCGTTTCCGCGGGTGAAAACCTGCCCGACGCTGAGGCTGCCTGAGGAATGGAGCGGCAGCGGGGTGAGGATCCTTCATGAGCCAACAATGGGATCAGACAGCCAACTGGTTTGGGGAGATCCAGTGACCTCAATCGTAGTGATGACACATTTAGAGCAGTTTCAGGTGTGAGATTACCATAGGTCTTTTAATATAGAAGTTTTTGATTTGGGTAAATATAAAAGACCCGTAAGAGACGTGACTTTAAGATGATCTGTACCAAAACAAAGATTTTATTAAGTCTATAGAATACCGTTTGTAATTCAGATATTTTTACATATTTTGCCTTTACTGAATGTTGCTCTTATGGTGCTTTGGATATTGCACTAGTCCATATTGCGATTTGATAACATTTAGACATTTATTAATGCAGCCCAAATTCAGTTTGAATAAATTAATAACATATTCCATAGATACAAATGTAAAACTAAAATGTGCACTGCTACCCACCATGGTTCAGCATTACACATCAGAAACACCCAATGTCTGTCA